AATTGACTCTGAACGAGAATCGAAAAGTTATTTGTCGTCAGACAGTCGCCCCCTCGCTGTGAGGTCAAGTAACCACCATCAACTTTTGAATGCGCTTTTGAATCGAGTATCTTTCGTCTTGAAGTTGAAACTTGACTAAAAAAGATGCAAAAAATTATGTATGCTAAAAATGATAAATGATGCTCTTAAGTATGTCTAAGATGCATGCAACATGAATTAATTATGTTTTATCTCTTGGATAGAGCCTTATTTTTGTCTGTTGGTCTTATCCTTGGAATCGATCATGCCCCACTTTTTTCTCATGTTATTGGTAATGTCACAAGTTTTATCTGATCTCTCGGACTGATTGTCTTGTGAAATGCTCAAAATTTGGCATTGTTCATTCTTTCTTCAATAAGGCAAAATGAGCCTTAGAACCTTCCAAGACCTTTCACATTTGAGACTGTCCTGTTTGAAAATATTTTTTTCCTTTCTCTTATTTAGAAGGGAAAAAAGATATGAAAATAGAAGAATTATGTAAAACAATGCCCTTAATTCAGGCTTGCAATCAAATCGAATCAAATCATAAACATGAGTTCAAAGAATATCAAATGAATCAATAGCTCTTTTGATGCTTTCAAATTTTCAAATGGATGAGTTGGCTTTATGTTGGCCTCCTATTTAGCCACAAAAATGTCATATTTTGTCATTGATTGGCTTGGCATTTTAATTGGATACGGACAAAATGACGCAACTAGCGTGATCAATTACTAGACCTTCTATTTCGATTCTCTGAAATCTTCTATTTGTACAAGTTTTGTAAGCTCCTCTAACAAAGGTAGTGAAATATCGGTCTAAAAATGAAATTCTTGAGTGCTCGTGTGAAATTGACTATAACATGTGTTCCTTAACTCCCTTAATCCATCTTTACCGAAACTCCTTATTTAATTTTGCCATTATCTGGCTAGCTGAATCCATAAAGCCGAGGCGTTTAACCAATTGCTCTAGAGGGATAGCTTAATATTATTGTATAGATATTATAATCACCTTTATCAGGCTAGCTGAATATTATCCATAAAGTCGAGGCATTTAACCAATTGCTCTAGAGGGACAACTCAAGCTTTATTGTATATTATAATCACCTTTATCAGGCTAGTAAATCTTATCCATAAAGTCGGGCATTTAACCAATTGCTCTAGAGGGACATCTCAAGCTTTATTGTATATATATAATATTATAATATGTGTATACGGATCTGATTTCTTAAGTTTGTCAAGAAAAACCTGTTATAGTCTAGGTTTTGTTGAAAGTCTAGGAATCTCATATTTAGAGTTCAATTTCCAAGCAACTGACCTAAACTAGATTCACCTACTCGACTATTCCATCTGTGAAGAGCATGATCATCACTGAACGTCTTAAACAAAAAGTATAGAAATGTCGTATGCAAAAGATGCCTCATGTTGTCGCACCTATGCACATCTTAATACCAAGCCTCTTTTCATTCTTTTATGAGAAGAGAAGGCTATATCAGTTCTTGTAAGAGAAATGTATGGTGTTCGGGTTTTTCGAGGTAAAGTCCTTGTTTTGTGATTTTGTCAAAGATCTGTAATTATGAATCATTTACAGAGTTTTTTAATTCAGCTGATATTCAAAGAATTTCAAGTTGTAAATTTGATTCAATGCTTAGCGTAAATTCATTGAAATATCCTCATAAAAAGAAAAAGTTCAAAAGCAAGTTACAAAAAGAAATATGATAAGGTTAAAAAAACAAGTCCAAATAGGACGCTACAAAGTGGAATAAATCCTCATTAGGATGCCCCACTTGCCCAATGAGTATTCATTTGATTCAAGCCAGACAACCGTGAAATAATCTGGTCAACCAATAAGTCCTGGTTCCTAGCGATGGAATCCAAGGTACTTTGTCGATTTTTATTTATTTTCTTCCAGTTCATTCTGTAATCTTTGCATATTCTCTTCAAGTTGAGAAATCTTGGCTTCCATTTTCCTTTACGCAAGTGTTGTGAGGATGACACGTGTCCGAAGCTTGAGGAGGTACGTCTAGTGTTTGTATCTTTTGTTTATGAAAATATTTTGTTGGTTCGCATGGATGTAATGAAAAATAAAATTATGCATTGATCCAAAAAATGTGTCTGTTATTGTAAATAATCCTTATTGGGGACAAAAGTGTTACGTCTTAAGAGACAAAAAACATTTTAAACGTATAGACCCTGAACTGCTTCTAACTGGTTATTCATCTTCTGCCTTTTTCTGTCACCTTGTCGAATCGTTCCGGCTTCTCTGGCTAAACTATGCAAGTGACGACCTGCTTGCTCCGAAAAGTCTCGAATGACTGCATCTCCGGCTTTCACTTTCTGAATTTGCCCTCAACGAAAATTCTTTGGAAGCCTCCATTGAAGGGAAATATTTGAAATTCACTTGTTTGCTTCTTGAATTTGTAAAAAAATGACTTGTTGTCTTTGAAGGGACTCTTCAGTCAATTTTCCTCGTCTTGCCCCTACAACCGTTGTCAGCTCGAAACGTCGACTTTCGATCTGCACAGTGTAAATCTCGGACCCTTTTGAGCCAGACTCCGTGTTTTTCACCTCTTGTATTATAACCCCTTTATCCGTTAATGTAGATTATTTATGCTTAAAGAATACGTTTTTGGTGGATTAACACCTCATTTGAATGCATGATGCAAAAGATGAAAATAAAATGAAAGAGAACAAAATGAAAAAAAAGTTAGTGAGGCGAAAAAAAACAACCATTAAGATAAAAGTCTTACCCCATATGCTTATTATTCCTACCCGGACATGATCTCTATCCCGCATGCTAATTTCAAACAAATCCTAATCGCATATTTATCTTGTTCGTATACTTTGAACAGAAAGTAAAGCATAAACAAAGCAGCCTAGGATTTGGAATGAGGTTTTGGGGTGGACTCTAATTCCCTGTACTTTCCCGATTTAGGTTTTAAAGAGGGCACTCGAGTTCTCCTTGTTGGTGCCCTTGGGCTTGTCAGACCCTTAGTCCTATGCCCATTACAAGCTTGTGTGGACTAAGTTAAACTCGAGAGGAAACATTCCCTTATGCCCGCACGGTGAATAAATTCACACGAAGACGTAAGGTATATGAATCTCGAAGGCTACTTGCTAGGCCCGCACGGAGAATAAATTCTCACGAAAGTGTCACTTTCACCCCTACTTAAATAGGGTTCAGAGCTCGGTATAGAGCCAGAGATGAAAATTTTGAAAATCCGAAATCATTGAAAAAAACGTCAATACAACTATTTATTTGAAAAATAATAAAGATAAATATTAGAATCCAATAAATAAATTAAATTTTAAATTTACTATTTTCGCATAAAAAGACAACCGAAAATTAATTCTGGCCTGACTCATTTACCTGCCCAGCGGAGTCGCCAAGTTGTCGTGATCGTCTTTCGGTTGGGCCCGGAATTGGCTTCGACTTAGGAAAATGGATTAAGAGTCATCACCGATAATTTATTTTAAAATAAATGGGTTGATCGAATACCTTATTTCTTACATGATCTGCATTTTATCAAAAATGTGTCGGGTTCGGGAGATGGTACGGTCAAGGAAGGATTAACACTCTTGAACTGCCCTTTCGGTACCAATTAATTTGTCGGTTGTCTTTAATTACGAAAATTGAAATTTAAATACTCAATTCGAATTACTTACTTTTGATCGATTGAAATTAAAATACAAAGATAAAATATAATATTAATATATACTAAATAAGTTCGGACGAAAATGGGTGTCTAAAACATTTAAAAAGGATTAAAGTACACCTAACAAGCAAAGTTGCTTATGGTAATAAAGAAAAGAAAATTAAACAAAACCAGTAAACAAGCAGCCTTATAGAAAAACCATTAACATATTGATAGAATTTCCAGCAAGCCATAAAGAATTTGTCCAGAAATTGTATGAGCTTAGCTTTATCTTATCCAGCTGAATTCCATAATCAAAACAACTTCTCAAATAACAAATTCATTTTCTAAAGTTACAAAAGCTAGCATTTAATATCAGAATTAACACCCAGATTGCTAAGAATAATCAAAAACAATTAATACCACAAGTAACCAATAAAAATTGTGATCATTATCTTCATATCCCTCGTGATTCCCATAATATAAATACAATTATAAAAAATTAATATAGTAACCCATAAAATAAAGTTGGAAAATTAAAACCCAACACTCAACAATAACGACCTACGCCAACCAAAAAAGCACTTATACACGATGAATTACAGGATTGAAAAAAGTTAAAACTAATAATTGCTAACCTGGTTAACAAGCTGATGAGGTTGCAAAAGCGGGTCAGTAAGGGACCTAGCTCTAGAACTGGAGCTCCAAGGCAATTGACCCGCTTTCTTAGACCCGGAACTAGAATTCGGGTACCTTAATGAAGCCGCCCTATCAAATGGCAATGAAACTCCCCCGTTTTGCTGCCTAAACCATGCATGGAATAGGAAGTTCCGGCAACGAATCATCCACAAAGTGAGACACCCATTCAAGCCCTGCTATTTCATTATCCGGAACAGAAAGTTCGCTGGTAAAGACGGAATCGAGGGTAAAACTGCTGGAATTTGAATTACTATCATTGTCTGCTTCACGTTCTTGATACGAACCAGGGACAAAGTCTTTTTGTTCAACAGAATCTTCTTCAAATTCTCCGTTATTGAAATCAAGGAAACAATCAACGGAGAAATCTTCGTTGGGAACGGCTCCGCCGTTGATAACATTCATGACCAAGAAATCATCGAAAACAATATGTTGTTGGGTTTTTTGCATGGTTAGTTCTCCTCTCACCCTCGATTTCAGTGCTCTCAATTCCATGCAGTGTTCCATTATTCCTGGTAAAGATGGAGGAGAAAAATGAAGAATGAATGTAAGAGAGAAGACCAACTGATGGAAAGGTGAGGAAATGTCCTAGGCTTGTTCGTTTAGGTATTGTTTTGCCCTTGGAAAATTAAGGGGCTTAAGCAGAACAGAGAAGATGGTGGCCTTCTCTTTTCCTCCTGTGTTTTTCGTTTGCGAGGCTTCTAGTAAAAAGGTTCACTGGAAACTCATTGACCCAAGATTTAGAGAATCTAAAAGGCCAAATCTTCACAGCGAAAGTGTAAAAAAAAAGAAACAAGAAAAGAACATGTTAATGTCTCAGCTTCATGATTTGATTACAGTGAATGCAAATAAAGCTTTAACAGGGGGAGGTGTATTGATTTGGAGGCAGAGAGAGACCGTGAGATTCAATAGGAAGATCAAACTTTTAAGAAAAAACTTTGAAAATTGAATCAAAGGAGATAGATCTGGAAAAAGGGTAATGGATCGGAAGGAATATTCCATAGGATCGAAGGATTCATTTGTGAATCGATGAGATCAAAGAAAGAAAAGATAGATCGTGCGAAGAGTAGTGAAGATCTTCTCTGCAGATTTTACATACAAACTGGTTCCCCTCATAAGGCCATTGGATAACCTTTTTATATCATGTCTTCCAACACCCCCACTTTACTACTGAAAATTTTAGAAGAAAATCGTGGAGAGCAATCAGTTACTTGGCCTCCTCTCCCATAACTACTTAACTTGCTGGCCTCTTTACGTGGCTAAAAAATATCTGACTTTGTTTTTTCTGTTGTAGGCACCTTCGAAACAGCTAAGTAGACGAGACAGATGACAAGCATAGGCTCATGCGGTTGCACGTGCGAATATGAGCGGTTCAGGCTGGGCTCTGCAAAACAAAATTAATAGTATTAATAATATAATAATAATAATTAATAATAATAATATATTATATATAAAAAAATTCAAAAAATTATATTATATTACTATAAAAAAATAAATATATAAAAAATAAATCCGGAAGAAAATAAGTGTCTACATATATGTCATGTTTTTATTTTTATTTTCAACTACAAATTTATTAGTTCTATGAATTAATTGTAATATGTCAAGAGAGAGTAAATTGACTTTAAATTTTTACGATTAAGCTCACACTCAAATATCATTTAAACAATATAAACAATTAAGCTCATAATTATTTTACAAATGAATAAGGGTAGATTGTTTTCAAATATTTAGTCGATATGAACAAAAGGATTGATCTTTATACGGAAGAGATTGATCATTTTTATAAATGGATCAATTTTTTTAGATTTTTTAAAAAAATGATCGATCATTTTGAGAAAGAGGTCAATCATGTGAGTCAAAATTTTAAGTAAAGAAAACAATCAAATAATTATTTAAAAAGGTCAAACTAAGTTACGAAATAAAATAAAACTTTTAAACTAACTTTAGCTTTAAATTATTTTTAAGAAAAATTTAATAAATTCAATTAAATTCAAAATTAATAGATAAAGAGGTTTTTAACGAAGATCGTTAAGGGAATGAAGGAATTCTTATTCAATATTATACGAATTACCATTAATACCATTTATGCATTGGGGATGTCTACTCTAGTAGTGTATATATGAACATGACCAGGACCAGCTGTATTATTTATAGAATATAAAGGCTTATAGATTAATTGGGCTTCAAAGGAAGTCTGTGGCCCGACTTGAAGTCGACGGAGCAGTGCGCTTCGGTTCGATGCATTCAACGGCCTCCTCCATACCATGTCTCTTCTAACCGACCACAACAAATCGCTGCACCAGAAACACCGTCATCATGCACATACATAAAAATGGAGAGTTTTTTCTGTCTCAGTGATATTTTCAATTATGTAGTTTACACTCTTTATGACTTTGCTTTACCAGATATGACAAATCAGGAAATGAACAGTTTGTGACGGAAATTAGCAAATGGGTCTTTCATGAAAGGTGAGGCATCCTGAACAGTTTCCATTTTAATGTTGTTTATATAGTCTCTGAAAGATTTAATTGTTTGACGAAGGAAACCAATGGTATTGCTTATCCAACTTGCTCATAAAACTACTTCTGTAAAAGCTTTGTCTCAAATCTTGTTCTTATTGTCAGGCTGTTAATCTTAGACACCTCAGAGTCGGGAAATAGATGAGCCTGCAATGTATAGGATCAAAGATGACCTGGTACTAAATACATCAATTTGTTGCATTAGAAGTTTCTGTTGAAAATATATGTAATTATGAGAACTATTCACATTGAATCGCCCAAAATATATGTTCAATGCAGAAATTCTCTGTTGAGATATATGAGTGGTCTGGAAAGAGCTGGGAGCCCTATGTGGCAGATGATGTTCAGGTCCAGTTTTACATGATGAGCCCATACGTGCTGAAAACACTATCAACTAACGGAAAGGTAATTTTTTGGCCAGGTTCATGTGTTTTAGATTTTGCAACTGTACTTCTGCAATCTTATTTTTATATTTATAATTTTACAGGGTTTGTACCATGCATCATTCAAGGTGCCTGATGTGTATGGGGTATTTCAGTTTAAGGTTGATTATCACAGGCTTGGTTACACTAGCTTATCTCTTTCCAAACAGGCAAGTTTTTAGCTGTCAGAGCCTCATTTGTTTTCTCAACCAAGTTTATTCTATATGTATGATATTTATGGGTTCTGGATTGATTGGTTAATGTTAATTTGTTTTGTAGTTTTTACTTGAAACTCTTTCATAGTTTACAACCAATAAGAAATCTGCTAACATACTCGTAAGCTAAGACAACATTTGTCTTGTTGGAAATCTAATTGAGGAATATTATTAATTTACAGATCCCATTTCAACCCTTCAGACACAATGAATACGAGAGATTTATAAAAACTGCTTTCCCATATTATGGAGCTTCTTTTACCCTGGTAGTGTGTTTGTGTTTATGTATATGTTTGGAAGCATACGTGTTAAACAATGAATCTGTGGTAAGCGTTTTGATTTGGTTGAATGCAGATGGCAGGATTCTTTATCTTCAGCATACTGTTCCTGTATAACAAGTAAGACCTTGAAATGAATGTCTAATCTAATCATCACCATAGTCGCTTTGGGTTCTTTTGGAAGCAAAAAAGAAGGAAAATTGACAGCTGCTCATCCTTCTCTTCTCTTCACAAATATCTATTTTTAGGTTGGATTATGCAGTACATTTATCCAGGGTTAGATTTCAGAATTTTCATCTTCTGACATTACTGTTTGAACCTATGATAGCAGCTTTATATTGTTGAATTGGATTTGTCATATGATAGTGAACTAGAGACTATTTGGAACTCCATTAAATGGAACATTATTATTGTACATCATCAGGCTTTCATATTGTAAGTGGGACCATGACAAAGGAAGTAAAGGAGATCAATTTGGTCGTTTCCTTTATTTGGGATTTTCGGGTTCTGTAGCTGATTCATAAACCAGAGTTAGGATTCCTTAAATTCAACGCATGAAACATGGTTTATGCGTCTTCAAAATATTTTTGTCGGACTTTGCTTCTTTATTGATGCTGCCTGCTTAGATGTCATTTTCTGCTCTTTTATTATTATTATTAGAAATGTCTATCCTTCTTAGTTATTCACAACCTAAACTTAGAATTCGAGCATCTTAAGCCTTTCATGTGAGACAAATTTCGAGTTTCTTAGTATTCGTTTCAAGTAGCTTTCAGAATCTATGGAGTTAGTTTTGTTTTCCATCGTAATTTCATTTCTGGAATTTTCAACCATAAACCATGGAATTTGAAAGTAAAAATGGTTAGAGTTTAATTAAATTAATTCTTATAATTAATCGTTGTTTTAAGTTAAACTATAATTTAAAATGAGATTGATTTTCTAATTCGATTCCTTTAGTACGCTACGCTTGATTCTTCGGTGTTCACGCTTATCTGTTATTTATACAAATTGGTCATGGAAGGTTTTGCTTTTTTGTCATAATTTTAAGTGGATGTCTTGTTGAAAACATGAGCTAAATTTTCAATCTATATTTAATAAACCTCTAAAGTTATTAATCGATCAAAACATTAGAAATCCATGCAAAATCTAAAAATTCTAATTTTTCACAGGTAAAGAAGAATTACTACAAAATCAAGGAACTTTTTTTATCTTATAAAAATAAACTTTAAAGAGGATATGAGAGAATAAGAGAAATTGAACACAAGAGTCAAAAAAAGTTGGAGGTATTTGGAATGTTTTAAATAAAAGGCTAATTTATTTTCATAAAACTGATTTTTTGGTAAAATAGTTTTTAAACTTTTTACGGGATCAAAATGAATATCTATATAAATTAGTTTGCATATTAAATAATTTTCTCATTTTTTGTGGGGTCGACTGACCACTGGCTCCGCCTCGGCGGCCATACGGTAATCTCAAAATCCAATATTGGTCCATGTTTTGGCTGCTCTTTGGCTCACATTAAAAACCAATGCTCATCTTTTGCCATTAAGTGTGAGCTTTGTTTTTTTTCTCTCCTTTTTCATCCAACTTGTCTTTGCAGGAGCTCAGCATCCAGCTTTTAGTATTTGAAAAGCCTGAATTACGTTAGAATTTGGTACTTTTGTTCGACCCTCGGAAACTTTTTTCTTTCTTTCTTTCTGTTTGAACTCCTTTTGAGCTTCTCAAAAGATAATCTTTAAAAATGGCTTCAGTGAATCTGGGTTCTTTAGTTCAATTTTTACTCCATTTTCAACCGACTTTCTTCCATATCCAATTCCTTTCCCTTCAATCCCCTTAAAAATCATTCATCTTCAATTCTGAAAAATGTTAACTTTACATCTTCTTCCTTCAGTCACCTTTGTCCTTACCAAAGAAGACATTGTCAAGGAAGAAGATCAAAAACCAAGCTTTGATTTCAAGTCCTACATGGTTCAAAAAGCAACCACAGCCAACCAAGCCTTGGAGTCAGCTGTTTCATTCCGTAGCCCTATCAAAACCCAAGAAGCAATGCGGTACTCCCTTTTAGCAGGCGGAAAAAGGATTCGTCCAGTGCTTTGTTTAGCTGCATGTGAACTTTTCGGTGGCCAAGAATCCACGGCCATTCCAGCAGCTTGCGCTGTTGAAATGATCCACACCATGTCATTGATCCATGATGATTTGCTTGCATGGACAACGAATATCGTCGTAGAGGAAAACCAACTAACCACAGTTTTTGGCGAGGAAATAGCTGTCTTAGCAGGGGATGCTCTTCTAGCTCTTGCTTTTGAACACATAGCTGTTTCTACACTTGGTGTTACGCCTAGTAGGATAGTAAGAGCTGTAGGGGAAATAGCTAAAGCCATTGGAACAGAAGGGTTAGTGGCTGGTCAAGTGGTGGATATAACTAGTGAGGGACTAACAGATGTGGGGTTGGATCATTTAGAATTCATTCACCTTCACAAAACTGCAGCTTTGCTCGAAGCATCTGTGGTTATGGGGGCAATTCTCAGAGGTGCATGTGATGATGATGTGGAGAGGTTGAGGAAATTCGCAAGGTGTATTGGGCTGTTGTTTCAGGTTGTGGATGATATTCTTGATGTAACGAAATATTCTAAAGAATTAGGGAAGACTGCTGGGAAAGATTTGATGGCTGATAAAGCCACCTACCCAAAGTTGATCGGGATTGAGAAATCATGGGAGTTTGCTGACAAGTTGAAGACTGATGCAGTAGATTTGCTTCAAGGGTTTGATCCTGCTAAAGCTGCTCCTTTGATTGCTTTGGCTAATTATATAGCTTACAGGCAAAACTAACTTGTGTTTTTTGTTGTTGTATAATTTATAATCTTGATGGTTTAAGTGAGGTTGTTGCATTGTCCAAAACATTTTCTTTAGATACACAAAAGGCATTGACTTGCTGTGTTTGATCAAGAGATACAGCAGGCAAGTTGTTGTAATGCTGGAAAAATTCTTCTACAAGGATAATAAAGATTGGATTTTTGTTTTTCTCTCTGTGCTGGAATGATAGGGTTCTTGGTCTCGAGTGTTGTTACACCCCGATTTTATCCCAAATTAAAAACCCTAAAATTTGGGGGGAAATTGTCCAAATTCCTAAATTGGAACTAGGGACTAAATTGTTTATTTTATAAATTTGGATGACCTTTTCCTAAAGAAGAAACGTTTGAAATATTTTTAGAAACTACTAAAGAGTATAAGGACCTATTTTGTGATTTAGCCATTTTTCTTTACGACACAAGCCCTACTCTTTAAGCCGTGTTCAACCGCGCCCCCTTAATTTTTTTGTTTGTTTATTTTCTCAATTTCCTCGTGCGTCCTTTCTCCCTATCTGCTGTTTAACTATTCTTCATCGCATCATCGTTCGGAATAAGGTCGTCGGGGTTGTTCACGGTTTCTCATTGCCGTTTGTTGGTTGGGGTTTGTGTGAGAGTGGATGAACCGGTCGAATTGGGGCTGCTCTCCGCTGTTGTTGGCCGGAATCAAGGTCACCGGCCGTACCGAGGGAGGTTGTGTGCGCCGTCGTTTCCTCTAGCAAACTTGAATCGAGTTAAAACACTACTGCCTGAATCTTGATTCGAACCGGAAATTACTTTTAATTTACGTTTAGTTGTCATGGTAATCAGAAAAATCGTTGGGTTGAGAATTAAGTCCGCCTCTTTATCTTCGCGGGAGATATTGGATGTAAATGAATCGAGCTTCAATTTTTGCGGGAGATATGGGGTGTAAATAAACAGAGGTTGAATGAATAATGTTATGTTCGTGTTCTTTATTATTTTTGTTCGTGTTCAGTTTTTTGTTTAAATTCAGTTTAATATTATATTTATATGTTCACGAATATATTCGTTTATATGTTCACGAATGTGTTCATGAACATGTTTCTTTAACATTATTTTAGTGTTTGTTTATCATTCATTTGTATATTCGATTTTTAATTTCATTTGCAAGTTAAAGAAAAATGATAAAATTACGTCACTGATGCTTAAACTCCTTAAAATTTAAAGTTTAAAATATAACTTTTATCACGTGTTCTATTTAATCTTTACCATTATTTAAAATGTAAAAAAAAAGGAAAAGGAGAATCGGTAAACAAGTTTGTTCATGAACATAAATGAACGAGTTGATAAACGAGCTTATAATTGAGCTTATAAACGATGTCATAAATGAGTTTGTTCGTGAATATAAACAAATCGAACACACTTCTGTTCGTGTTCTTTCATTTATTAAATGAACTTAATTTTTTGTTCATGTTCATTTGTTTAACTTAACAAACAAACATAAATGAACATTAAACAAACAGTTCGCGAATAGTTCACCGAACGATCTATTCATTTACAACATAATCAAAATGAAGTTATTGTCCCTTCGCTGTTACATGTTAATGTTGAATCGACTCAAATTATGAGAACCGAGCGTGAGTATTAGATTATATTTTGTTAATAAGTTAGGTTTATTATTATTATTATGTAGTAACTAATTTAGTTAGACCCACTATTTGAGTTGGTCGTAGGAGATGTCAGTCGTCATTAGTTATTTTGTTGAGGAATGTCTTTTTATCCAGTGCTACATTTTTTTGTTTGGTTTCTTAATTGTAACACCCAATATTCCCCAAATTAAAACCTTAGAATTTGGGAAATTTTAACCTAAATTCCTAAATTGATTTGGGTGACCAAATGTAAATAGTTTTAAAGTTATATCTTATTTCGTAAAACCTATATAGTTTGATGACTAACTTTGTAATTAAACTAATTATAATTAGATTTCAATATTCCCCAATTCACTC